AAGTCCGCAGACATACCGGTGTGCCACTGGGGGGCCCTAACAGACGTAATCCAGATGTAGTGGCTCGAATGGACAAGATTTGATGTTGATAGAAAAAAAATATCTTTTTTTATTTGTCCTTCTCTATACTGTCAATTATTTGGATACAATTCAAATATAGAAGGAACTCGAAATCCCAGTTTTGGTTGTACACGACACATAACTAACATGTTTAATAATGGTTGGAGACGGCTTGAATGGGTAATGTCACGTGGCGTTGCCATTCGAGATCTGAAAGCTGCCAGCAGCGTGGAGTGCGAGTTTAGTAGTTTACAGATTCATTGCATTCTTAACGTACCACCAAAGCACGAGAGCTGCATTCTATTGTAATTCAAACTGTGCCAGTCCACTGCACGCCCCATACATACGTGTACAAAACAATTCATTGTTCCAAAACCTCAAAGATCAACGGGTTAGAGAGTATCTAGCACAGTTTCAGAAACCTTCCTGACTTAACATACATTAGCGCCAAAACACACACCCAACAAGAGCAAAAAGAAAAAATAGCTTTTCTGCTTTGAAAGCAAATAACTCGTACTGTTAAAGTAGTGCAGAGACTTAAGTTTTAAAGTTAAATCAAACACGGAATACTGCCGTAAGTCCTAAAGTGCAGAACTCACTAAATCACGTTTGTATAAAATCACAATTAGACCTAGAACATTCTAGTCATTAGCAGGATAGAATAACCATATTAAATGCACTATATCTTTCAGACTTACTAAATAGTCTAAGATTATTACTTTGTAACGTCTGATGTGTTATGTCCAATGTTGACGAGAAAAGGTCGTCATGTGATTAAGGACGATACCCGCAATAAATATTAAATTGATAATGAATAATATGGGAAATTAATATTGCCTCATAGTTCTCTATCCTAGCTAAGTTTGAGAGAAATTAACACTGTTTAATAGGTCTTTCATAACGAAGTTTGAAATGAAATTAACACTGTTTAATAGGTCTTTCATAACGAAGTTTCAAGGGAAATTAACACTGTTTAATAGGTCTTTCATAACGAAGTTTGAAATGAAATTAACACTGTTTAATAGGTCTTTCATAACGAAGTTTCAAGAAATTAACACTGTTTAATAGGTCTTTCATAACGAAGTTTCAAGGGAAATTAACACTGTTTAATAGGTCTTTCATAACGAAGTTTCAAGGGAAATTAACACTGTTTAATAGGTCTTTCATAACGAAGTTTCAAGTGAACTTAACACAGTCCCATAGATCTCTGTAATAACTAACTTTGAGATGAAACCATTAAATTTATAAAAACCAGAATGACACTCGTGTTAGTCTCTACAAATTGCTTTGATGCCAAAGGATCCTGGTGATAAGCATTGACTAATTTATTGCGTTAGTGCCAAGTTAGGTATTCTAGTTATTTCAAGGCTTGCGAATTTGGCATGAAAAACGTCGGATGTGGCCTTTAGAATCACTGTACGGTATTCATCCGCACGTACTCAACCAAACATTTGCTTCTGCAAAAGTTTTTAATTTTATAATTTGTTGCTTTTAAGTATACGGTGACGCGATGCGTTCAACTGTATCAGCATACTGCATAAATTCTCCAGTTTCCAGCTTCAACATGTCAATCATAAATTCCCCAGTTTCCAGCTTCAACATGTCAATCTAGTTGTACATAATACAAGTGTGGTACGTTAATAAATATTTGAAAAAAAATCTTTTATAAACCATCCAAAGTTCAAGTGTTGACTTCATATTCCCGAGGAAATGTTCATCAAAAGAAAGTTTATGCGGTATAGTTGTCCAAAGAACTTATTGAAGAAATATTTATAGACGCAATGTCCTACTAATACTAGTACTATTTTCCCAGTTACTACTTATCTTTATTCATTAGGGAAGAATTCACGAATTTGTTAACTTTGCACTTTTTTCATCACGAGTTTTTGTTTTTTTTTATCTTTCTCTCTTTAAAAAAATGGTCAATTTCTGTTTAGAACAAAAACACCTGAGAACTGATTTTATTTTCCCCATTTTTTATTGCAAAAACTACGTACTTAGTTTCTCAAGTTCGTAACTTTTTAAAGTAGTTTTCGAATTATCTGTAAAACTTCTCAAGCCGCTATATACATAGCTTTAATTTGACTAATTCCCAGATTCTTTATTTTAAATAAATGTATTTAAACGCCAAAATGAAAAAAGAAAACAGTCTTCCAATTGCCTATGAAATTATGTATGTTAATAAACTGATAATTTTTATACAAGATAAACATAAATAGAACTGATAATTTTTATACAGTTTAAACATAAATAAACTGATAATTTTTATACAAGATAAACGCACAGGAAACATGATTTTTAACAGTGTAAGCACACAAAGAACTATAACAGTCCTTGTTTCTGTTTTATTACTCAGATATTTTGTTCTTTAATTTCTGGTGCAACTCCCTTGATGTAACGTTAGAGACGTGCCGAGCTCAAAGTTCAACTTAAGTTTTCATTCTCTGCCTAAAATAATGGCAAGCTTACTTGGATTTCATCTATTATATATGATGGTGCACGCATGCGTGTAATAGTACACGTACTTTTTAATTCTCACAGTCTTCAAATTAGTGCGCTTACAACATTTTCTTATGTTACATCCAAGAGCCAAAACTTCTATTCTCCTCGGTGCAACTACTATAAAGACAAACACAAAAGCGTGGTCAAAATTCATTATTTAATCAATATTATTGAGTGATGACGTATGCTGAACAGGGTTACTTAACTTACTACTAGCTGCAGATCATGACGTATTCCTGCTAAGTTGATCCAACGTTTCTCACATAAAATAAGCTATGTGTAATAGGCAAATACGTGTAAAAACTCAAGAGGAGTATGCAACTACACGTGAGACGAAAAAGTTTGGTAAAGATTTAACTTTAAAGCTAGTATTAAGACTAATGATGTCGGTTAAATTTATGTTTCGGTGTAAAGTTCGCAGTCCAGACGTAGTTAAATCTAAAAATAATTAAAATAAGAATTTGTGCGCCTAATAAAAACAACTACAACAATAAAAGCAGTTCAGGCATGAAGGTAAATATCTGAGAGCACAGACACACGAAGAAAAACTACAGTGTAGGCTCGTTTCATTCACGGAAAACACTTTTGGTAGTAGTGAGTAAAATTATGTTACCAGTACATTGCAAAACCAAATGCTGCTTCGGTCTTACCCAGAGCATACCAGTCTATCTCTCTCAATACGTAATTGCAACTTCTTTAATGTTTAAGATCCAATATATAGTCATGGTACGAGTTTATTTAAATTAACAGGATAAACATTCATATTTTGTCGTTGTTTGTTTTCATATCCTCTCCCTAAGATATTTTCCCGAAATACTGAGATAAATTTGAATCCTAGAATTACATGGCCTCATCGACATTTTTAAAAACACATGTTTTTTTCCAAGCTATTTATGCACAAAACAGCCTTATGAGTCCATGACTTCGTTGAGCATTCCTAACAAATAAATCGCGCACAAAATTAATGAAAGATCGTACAATTAACTTCCACTGATCATTGCTGGGAGATCCGTACATATTTTACAAAGAAAATGGACGATTTCACCCAAATTCTTTGGTCTGTTTCTTTACATTGAATGTTGGAACAGGTAAAACATGTTAAACCAATATGAACAGTACAAAAACAGGTCGGTAATTTGATGGTTAAATAAAGATGGGTGTAATTTATGTACGTATTGGCGCGTGAGATATTATAATGTAACGTATGAATATATTGAATAAGTAGAGTTGTTTAAACATTTGTTTAACAAGTACAAGCTTGGAATGGTCTATTCTTTCATTGGGCTGTGTGTCTGTGAGTCAGCCTAGTTTCGGAGAATTCCACTCCTCATCAGTGACCCTGGACACTACCACTAACTAATACGAAGAATTAAATTGTGGCGGATTGCTACAAGTTCTTCAAATACCTATAGAATGATAGGTTTCTTTCTTGTAAGTGTAAAAACACATAAATACACCAGTTTGGTATGAATATATGTTACACACAATGAAGAAATCAAACGCTCCATAATAGCTACTAGTCATTCACATATTTAAAACGATGTTCTAAATGAAGAGCATAATATTTTGTCTCTACAACAGTTAAACAGCATATAGAACTGAAGTAAACACCCTTTTCACTCTATTTCTTTCTGTACTTCATATACGTATAAACATGTCATGTTTTACTGTACTGTAGTAGTCAACATGATTCATTCCCTAGCTAGTGGTATTACATAAACACGCCATGTTTTACTGTACTATCGTTGTCAATGTGATTCATTCCCTACGTTAATGACACTAGTAGTAGTACTCATAAAAACTGTATGTTTCGAGAGTTCGCCAACATGACTCTCTAACCTTCTTCTTTCTGCATTAAAGATTAATAACACCAGGTCCAATTAGATGATTAAAAAAATCAGAGTTTAAGCATCACATTTACTATACATAAAATTTTATTATGTTATTGAATTTCAGTTTTTACTTAATTAAATAATTCAAGAATACTGAAAAGTGACTGATATTGATAAGACATTAAACCCGTCCGATTCGATAACAATAAAGACATAAGTTACACTACTTAATGGGTGCCAGGATGTATTATTATTATATATAGAAGTCTACATGCGTGTCTAAACCAGTGATTCTCAAATTTATTCTACTGCGAACCACTAAATGGGCCAGATGGCGCTGCTTTTGATGAGACTCGCATTTTACTTTTTGAGATTCAGACAGCGAGCCACCAAGTAGTCTGCAGAACACACTTTGAGAACCGTTGGTCTAAACCAATCATATTTATAGTAATACAGTGACATGTTGATATACCTTATGCATGTATATTGTAAATTTTGACTCCTTATTACAGGTTTTCATAGTACGCGTCACTTAAATTAGACATATAGACAGACTTAAGAAACACTTATACGAAATGGCGTAATGAATAAAAACGCAATACTTACCAGCCATGATAAGTTTTTCGTAATGTTTCCCAAATATTAAGTTCAATGGTTCCAGTTTGATACCAGTATTAAAATATAACAAGTTCGCGCGTTATAGTCAATTAAAAATGACCATCGACTGGCTACTGTGATTAAGCAAAAATCTTGATGTTTAAAATTAATTAGCAACTCCAAACACACAGGTTAACGTAGCTAACAGGTAACTTCTGCAGACACAGGACGAGTCTGAGGTGAGTGACCGGCCATTCAAAGAGCTCGTGCTGAGGAAGGTGACAACATGACTTGGAAACCAAACCACACGTACATCGGGCATACCGGTTAAGCCGGTTTTTTTTTTTTTACTCGATCAGCAAACTGTTCGTTTTCTACCTTGCAGAGCTAACCCACCTTTTTTGTCAGTGGTGTGTTCATGCCCTGTCTGTTCACTAGTCTGTTAAACAGGCGAATTTCCTTGCTTGTGTTTAATTAAGTGAGATTTTTACAGTTACGATTAATAGTTCCGAAGCGATCATCCTTTGATAAAACTGAGCCGACACAATGTAATCGTAAATTTACACTATCTGTCACAGCTTTTGAGACGACGATCCAGAACAAACTGGTTTCGTAGCGTTTTATCTCAGCAAACTCTTGATATCGGACGTTAATATATTTCAATTCAAGCTAGTATATTTTCACAAACTTATCTAATAATCTCGAAGTCTCGGAAATGGGAAGTAAGAAGCGGTACAAGTCAACGATAACTTCTCCAGCGGTTAGCAGCACACGTTTCACGTTAAAATAGGGAAGACACCTTAGGAGCTTAACAGTTAATACATTACGTACTTCACAAGAAGCAAACACAACTCCACAATCTTGCGTTTTTTTGTTTTTTTTACAATCCGAGAGGACAGCATCAAACCTCAACAAGTCAGTTTCAGAAGGCAACAAGCTCTCTTTCCAACACAACTAACAACTAAACAGCTCTCTTACTCAATGTCTCCTCGCGCTTACTGGCGCCCGAACTATTGGTTTCCCGTACGCATGCTTATTGTAACAAGCCTTGAGGCTCTGGAATGCTAGACATTGACAGCGACACTGATGTCATAAAAGCCTAACGAAAAAATATATAGCTTAATAAAAAAAAGAATTCGAGTTAATACTGTTGTTTAACAATAGAGAATACTTTCATAAATATGTTCCTCTTTGTTTTCTTTTTATATATATATATATAAATTAATTTCTAAAGGAGTTTCAAGGTTTTGTTTATGGCTGGGATTCTTTTACAGTAGGTGTCTGTGACTTGATAGCGATAAATGTCAACAATAAATGGTTAGCGCACAACCCACCTGTTTCAAAACAATATATTCAAAACAGTTCAAACGTATGTACAAAACCTCGTTACACTAATGTCTGTCACAGTTGTATCTTTAATTTTCTTTTTATCAAAAGTCCACACAGGGTGATTCGGTTACTTTAGAATCCGCCCTCCAGTGTCTGCGGAATTACAACACTAGAAACCAGATTTCGATACCTGTGGTGGGCAGAGCACAGACAGCCCATTGTGTAGCTTTGTGCTTAACTACAAACAAATTTTAGAACACAATTGACAAGACTAATTATTATTTTTTCTACTCTGTTTCTTACTGCACAATGTGCGATAAATTTACCACAATTGTATTCAGAACTTCAAATAATTGTCCACACAAGAAAAGACAAATTATTTCTCCTTATCTCTGTTAAACAGTGAAACTTACTTTAAGTATTGCCCGTTACGGCTAAACTTACAATCAAGCAGTCTAACTTCACTTTCATTAACTTAACGTTTTCCAACTTAACATCATTTGCACTCACTTGGTCACCTATATATATATATAAATATATATATATACTCATTTGGTCACCTATATATATATATATATATGCCCAACTGATAGGCTATGAT